CAGCAAAATAACTAAGACAAAACACGGAAGTACAAAAAGAGAGAAAAAGGAACAGCGAAAGGGAGCGCAAGAAAGAATACCAAAGAAGTCGAAAGGGAAATAACAGCAACATCACCAGGAATAGTGCTAAAAACGAAAAACCACGAATGAAAAATAACACACTGAGGAATCCAGGCTGCAGGGATTTTCATGCGTGATTTAGGGTACCGGCTCAGTGCCCTCAGCGACTGGCGAAAAGTCCGATGCGCCGCATATCCTAAGATTATCTTTTTAAAGCTTAGTTCAGTGCTTCATTTTCTTTTAATCTTTATTTGTTTTTTCTTGATGCTTGTTTCAGTGCTGAAGTTTTTTTGATGCTTATGTTAGTGCTTAAGTTTTGTTGATGCTTATTGTAAGTTTTTTTTGATTCTCCGGTCTAGTTTTTTTTGATGCCTTTTTAGTCTTTTTTGATGCCTCACCCTATTGTTGATATAGGAACCTTGAAAGTTCTTGGGCCCTGGATGATTTCGCTTGTTTGGGCAGAATGGGTGCAAGGGTTCTGCTGAACTCTTCCTGGACCTGGGTGTTGATCACACGTGTAGAGGACTTGAACACAGCTTCTGCAACAGTCCATTTTCCTGACTCGAAATTGTGGCCAAATTTCTGTAGGGTAGGGCTGGGCTTAATTTCGGGTATGGACTCGTATGATGGTAGTTAGTTATGCAGTTTTCTGCATATTTCGCTGCCATCCTGAACAGCAGGGAGGTTTGGGGTTTTCTTTCGGGGTTTAGCCTGTGTTTGCTAGCTCGCCTGCGCCTGCTGCGGGGCTGGACTTCCCTAAACCCTCAAGCGTAGAAGCCTCAACCCTAAAGCCCTATGAACATCGGAACACTAGACCATAAGCCTGGAGTTCGGGGGTGCCCTCTTGCGGTTCCGAGCTTGCCAGGCACTGTCTCTGGTCAAGCTTGGCACAACGCCGATTCGCTTTCAGGACACTAAGAACCGCCGTCGGGGCGGGGAAAGGCTCCGAAGCACCTTAAACGCATACATATACATGGTATAGACCGTAGTATTTAAATTTGGAAGAGGGCTTTGGAGTATATGGTGCCATAGTTTGATACACTAAGGGATGCCCCCCGATTACTGATAGTACTCGCTTAGGCCCCTGTCTTACTGAAAGCTTCAACGAACGCAACAAGAAACCCTGAGCCCGGCACGCAAAACCCTACACCAGAAACTACCCTGCAAAACAACTGTGGGGCATAATTATGTCAATTTCTTTATAGATATATATATATAGAACCCGTAGAGGAACCCTTCTACTAACCCTTTACAGAGCCCTCAAAGCTTTAAAAAGTAGGAGGCGCAAAATCCCCTATTCCAAGTGCTAAGGCCCTCTGCCCTTAAACCCAGTTTTTGAGGCCCTAAGATTCCAGAGAGCCTTATAAGTATTGCTGTAGCAGAATGTAGGCATTCTATAGTAGGAGTTACGATTATGGTTTGGGAACGTATCCCCCAGAAAGGTGCTTAGGACAAATTTGGGAATTACCCTACCCTTCCCCGCTCTTCGCAAAACTGCCTGGGTCCGAACCCGAAGTTGACTGCCGACTTCTGTCTAAAATTTTGCGAGATCGGACAGTCATTTACCTGCTTAGGGGCTCAGGGCAATTAGGAAGGAGGATTATAATAACTGTCGTTATTGGCACCTTAAATAGGGTTATCCTAATTCCAACCTTAAGTATACGCAACCTTATTAAGTCCCATGAGACTTTACGTATATGTAGTCACCCTTGTCGTTCAGTTCCTCCTCTGGGTAATCCGAACATATTGTGCAAGAACCTAACCATACAGGATAGGGCAACCAAAGAAATGGAACTATAAGGGATACTTGATAGCTAGGAGGTTGATAGGGCTTGAAAAGGATTCGTGTCCATTAGAATCCGTATTCCCTCGTAGTCCCTGTAAAAAATTGTCCTAGAAACCTACCCCTCTAGACCCCAATGCACCCCCCCTAAATCCCCAAACCTGCACACATTTCGGCCAAGATGCTGAAGGGCCAGGTCCTCAGGGAAGAACGCCCTGAACGGCCGAACCCCGAATGCATGCATTTACTTCGAAGATGTCCTCCTCTTCCAAAGTCGCGATGAAACTTGGCGCGCCCTGTTTTTTCGGCCTGGAGTCGTTGCAGAGCCTCTGGTGTTGCGACGGCGTGTCAGCTGGCGTTCGCCATCGAAGTCGTGTCATCTACCTGGGCTACTGCGCTCTGTCCTTTATTCCGAAGCTGCTGCACATGCAGCATACCGTTCAGGATGATCAGATCTGGGAGATGCCATCCGTCACGGTGGCGGGCACTGGTGCCATGGTTCTGATGCTCGCAGGAATCGTGAGCTGGTGCTTCATGGATCATATATCGGAAGCCAACATCTACATCATAGAGGATCCGGGTGCGAGCAGACGGCTCTTCAAGTTCTTGGCCTGCACAACGATGGTCTGCTACCTGTAACTGGGCCGTGCTCGAAATAGGAGTACTATACTCTAAAGCATAACTTTGGTCAGAAAGAACTGAAACCAGACTTCCAGACTTACGTATGGCTTAAAATGGCCCGCGAGATCAGCCCAGGTATCCAGTGCTTTTCTTCGGGCATGCCCAGCTAGTGGCAGAGGGTCTTTTGGTCATCGGTGGCGTCTACTGTTTGCTCTGGGTTCCGCTTATGGACAGCTTCCTGGCCTTCTTAATCCTGGGGGTCTTGCGGTTTGAGCTTACTGGTTGGTTTTGGGGTTTCAGGGGTGGCTTTGAAAGGGTATGCAGGAGCCGAATAGACAGAGACTGCATGTAAACCCAGGGGTAGTTAAGGTTTAGAAGAACACTGTCACCATGCCTTTCCTTCCTACTCATGCTTTTGCCGTCTTCTCTCATCGTTGCCGGGCTCGCTTGTCATTTGCTGGTGCTGTCGGTGGTGGCTGCTTTTTGACGTGGCAGTGGCAGCTGTGGCAAGAGGTATTGGATGCTGGTGACTGTTTGTTTTGCTCAACATATTGCTCTTGAGTTTGGTTGTTTTGCCTTGGTGGTGGCATTGTAGTGGTCTCGCCTTGATCGTTGTCGTCGTCGTTGTTGTTGTTGTTGGTGGTGGTGGTGGTGGTGGTGGTGCCGCTGCTGCCGCTTCTGCTGTTGTTGCAGAAAAGCAGCAGCAGCAGCAGTGGCAGCACCTACACTATCATAATACAGCCCCTAAACCCTAAAACCCTAGAAGTAACCTACGAACCTCGCCCGGCATGACCGAGTTGTGAGAGCCTAAACCCGAGAAGTAAGGTTCCTCGGACACTCATTGCTTTGTGCTTTTCTGGTGCTTCCTCACAATTCTTCGGCTGGCTCTGGTGGGCGCAGAGTTTACCCGGCCAATGGAGCAACCGGTCAGCTGTTGAAGGTTTAGGGGTTTAGGGCCGTTTAGGGTTTAGGGTTTTTGTCCGAAGCTTACACTTAAGCCTACTTCATAGGATTCATAGTGCCGCATTGCAAAAGATATAATCAACCGCCCGGTTTAGGGTTTCGGGTGACCCTCCCAACATGGTTAAACACACTTCGCTTTTCTGTGAATGCCCTGAGGGTCTTAAGCGCCTACATAGGTGTTGCTGCCCCAAATCTCAACAGTAGTGCCTACCGTAGAAGCCTCACATTCTACTATATAGGTGCTGAGAACTAAGTACGAATGATAGTAGTTCCACTATAGAAACCTTACACTCTAAGTACGACATGGGTACGTAGGACGCTCTGGGAATTCAGACTCACGGCCTGCCGAAGCAGCTGCTGAGGTATTGCCTGAAGCTCTACATAGTGGAGGGCGCGATTCTGCGTTTCCTGCTCTGCCGGTACACCAAGGGCTCATTTTTTGTCCGGGTTGAGGCCGCGGGCCGTGGGTTTAGGGATTCGGGTTGCGGAACGGCCAGCAACCCCTCAAAATTCTAGGAAGGTGTAGGGTGTATGGTTCTCCCCCCCCCCCCCACACCGAGCTTTAAAATTCAGAAACCCTAACCCCTCATTCCAGAAACCGAATCGTTTGGGTGTCGCTTAGGTGTTCTTTGTCACGTTTTGGTATAGGACAGAAACCCAGGAAATACTCTCTACAGCTCACCTCTCCTTTTGTCATGGGCTTAAGCAATTTAGAGGCTACTTGAGCCCTGCACCCAACACCCTAAACCCGAAGCCGACCGCAAGAATCGACGAACTGGGGGTTCGGTCCCTGTTTACCGGAGCATGGTTGCACGATCGTTGCGTTCCCATGTGGAGGCGTGTAGTAAGGCTCGCGCTCCTCAGGGGCTTGGGGGGGGGGGGGGTTGAGTTTATGGTTTGGAGGCTTTAGGGGCTGAAGTATTTTAGGGGTTCTTGGGTTCTTGGGTTGATGGTTTAGATTTCGGGGTTTTGAGTGTAGGGGTCCAGGGCTACGTGGCCGGAAACTTTAAAGCTTAATCATACTGCACACTGAGCAGTCCATGGAGCATGCCTTTGAGTGCCGAGACAGTCAAACTCTAAACTCTGCCAACTTTGGTGCTCTTGGGATGTGTGTTTAGTGTTTAGTACAATAAAACTCCCAGGGATTATTCCAAATATGAAACCATGAACATGCTTGAAAGGGTGCTTAACCTAAATCAGTCGAAAGCTTTGTGCCAGAAACGTGCTCCACTCTGTCTTCAAGCTGCTGATGGCTCTGAGAGTCGCAGGCAGCAGCCGCCTGCCTTACTAGTTCAGGGCTTGGGAAGTAACATAGCATCGGAGAGGGCTGCAATTATTATAGGGTAACATAGCATCGGAGAGGGCTGCAATCCCCTCGTAGGGTTAGGGCTTAGAGGGTTAAATGATGCAACCCCAAACCCTAAACCCTAAACCCCAAACCCCAAACCGCAAACAAACCCTACACCGCCATCCCTTCCTCCTCTGAACAAGAAGAAGTCAAGGTTCCTTCAGTTTTTTGCTCGGCCAAATGCAGCCGAGCGGCATACGTCGCTGGAGGTGTCTCGCCTTGGTGCGTTTGGGTTTGGCATGGATTTATGGGCTCTTGCTCGTTTTTTTCGCCAGATTTTCTGGGACTGGTATGGTTTACCCCAGAAAGTTGGAACATGGGTTTAGGATGATGAGTGCTTTGATTTCCTAATTATGCTTTGCCTGAAGGGCATCCTAAACCCCCATAAACCCCAAACCCTACGTATCCCTAAACCCCCAAACCCTACGTATCCCTAAACGCCTAGACCCTATGTATCCCTACGTAGCGCTTCTCCTAACTCTGTGTGGTTTCTACGGGCCTTGGCTTGGTCCGGGGCTATGGTTCGGCCCCTGACTAGGGTTCTGAAGGGCAGTATTTAAAAAATCGAGTTTGTCATAATATGATATATGAAAATAGGATGCCATGGAATATGATTTCAAATCAGGTAGCACAATATTAATATATAAGATGATGTCATATAATACCATTTGATGTGAAACAGTATACTCTGAAGGGCTTCTGGATTCACCGAAAATAGAAAATAGAGTAGAAGTCGAGGAGTATAAGACCAGCGCTGTTCTCTCATGCTCGGCTTGTCGCTCGAACATCTACCTCGCTTTTTAGAGGCTTAGGGTTTAGGGGGGCTCATGGGTTTGGGCTTGAGGGTTGAGCTTAAGGTAGTTTTCCCCATCTGACCCTCTTAAACTTCGACCTGGCGCGGCAGCTCAAGGGCACTTGCTAAAGGGTTCCCTTCGCTCGCGGTCCAGGCTCCATGTGTAATGCGCAGACACCTGCATGAGTGCTCCTTAAGCTTAAGGCTTCAGGGCGACACGGCCATAAGAAATTCCTGACCCATCAACCGTAAGAACTCCGTGACAAAGAACAAAAACCCATGTAATAAAGAAGCCTACATACTCACAAGTACTATCCTTACCGTGACAAGTATACGAAAGTGTGCCCCGAGCCCGCAGTCTACTAAACCCGAAACCCTAAACCCCTAAACCCAAAGCCCCTAACGTACCACATGCCTCGCCTGGATTGTCCGAGTGTGAGCGCCGAAACCTAAACCCTAAACCCCAAAATGGCTACGGCTCAAGACGTTGAACGTTGCTCGTAGCTCATTTGGCAGACGCCATCCAGCTCTTGCTGGATTTCTTTCTTGCCATGGCAGTTGTGGGTTCACCGTGTCAAAGCGCTGTGGAGTTCATGGTCGCTAAATCAAGCCTTCTGAGGCTAGAGAAGCTTCCTGAATCGATTCCAGATGTCCTACCCGATGAACTGGAGGGGAAGATGCCTTTCGCAGCGTATGAAGAATTCCGTCTTTCGCTGGACGGGGAGTTTCATTCAGCTTTTGAGGCTCTGGAAGCTGTCGGTGACCATCAGTGCAAAATCTGGATGGTCGTCGTGGGCCTGGCATTCCTCGCCTTATTGCTCAGTGTGATCCTGGTGACGGCAGTGGGGCTTGTTGTCGGGCTCGTCGGCTTCATTGTGCCCATACTCGCGGCCGGTGTCATTCTCTTTGGCTGGATCGAGCTTGCTACGCGCAGACGAAAAAGCATAATGAACCAGACTCAGAGCAACATCGAGGAGGTGATGCGTGCGGCCAATGCAGCAAATCCTGCATTGCAGTGGACCATCAGCATACCGTATAGGGTCGACCAGGATTTCTGCTTCAAGGTGCAGGCAAACGTGCCCCCTGCAGAAACTGCATAAAGCCAAAGTTATGCTGCGCTTTCTTCGCGGCCAGTGCCTGTTCAATCCTTGGGTCAACCAGGTAATTCAGTGTGGCTCTCCGGTTAGAATGCTGCCTTAGCACGAAGGCAGGCAGGCGAACTGCACAGTTTCACTGTGAAAAGCTTGTCGACACTGTTCTTAATCTAGCTTGTTGAAGTGCTGCTTACGCCCACCCTCCCTAAAACAACCTAAACGCCCCCAAACGGTTAATTCATGTACGGCATTTTGCTGCAGCTTTGCAGTGAAACTCGTACTGTTCCAAGTCTAGGTGACTCCCTGCTGAGTTAAGTATGCTCGGTGGTTTTTTTTGCAGCGCGAATCACACTCTGCAGCACAGTCTTGCACTTCTTTTATCACACAAGGCTTGGGAACCCTTAGGCTATTTGGTATCTTAGTCTCATGCCCGTGACAAGGATGGTAGTCTTGACAGAGATCTTGAGCTCCGTACACTCTCTGGTTCATGCTGTCTTACAGTAGGGCTAGTTGTATGGGAGCTGATCTTTGTCATGTCGTACAGCCCGTTCTTGTACTCAAGTCTTCCTCACTTGTGGGCACATGACCTTAGCCATGCACCCTAAACCCCCTAACATCATGCGCTTTAGGCCTTCGACCGCTTGCTGCTTCGCCTTGAGACCCAGGAGGTGCGCAGTGGGGTTCTCCTAGGTAGTACTACGGTTGATGATATAAATCCTGCATAGCCGAGGAATATACCATAATTCCCATAGTTTAGGGTCCTTAAGGTCATGCAGGATTTCTATCATCAACAGTAGGGCGACCCGTTAAAGGGGACCCTTCTGAACCCTACTTGTGGCTCTCTTAAAGGGGACCCTATTGAGAATGTCTTTCTTCCCAAGGGTCCCCTAATCCTAACTACCAGGTTCTAGGGTTTAGGAAGTTTAGGTCTGAGAACCAGGCGGGCATGTACAAGTCTGCGCAAAAACGGTTTAGGGCTTGGGGTTTTGAAAGTAGGGTTTTGTGTGTGTATATTCCCCAAACAGTTCTTGCACTAGGGGCACTTTAGTCAGGCCAAGGCTCTTCGGAGAGTTTCGGCTCTTCAAGCGTCTTACGATTGAATGCTTCTTGATGAATTTGTTCAGTTTTTCTTGCAGAACGGCTCGCAAGACTAGGAGGGCTCATGAGGGCTCTTGATAAAGCGGAGGTTTTGACCCCCCCTACCCTCACCATGCTAAACCCAGATCCCTTCCAGTGACTGGGAGGTCGGATATGATAAATCATTCCGACCTGCAGATTTAACTAGAAGGGGATCTGGAGATCGGAATGGCAAATACTGATATCGCCTATATTCCACTGATTGAACTACTAGTACAGTCTAGGTAGTCAGGCCAAGTCAGGTTCCGATAACAACAAGATTTCGAACTTGGGGACCTTTATGGAACTAGTTCAAGTCTACCGCCGGCGGAGGTTCTTTGTTGGAGAGTTGTTGTTCATGGGTGTAGCGCTTTGTTGGGTTCAGAGGCTGCCCCAACAAATTTTGGAATTCCTCTAGGCCCGAGGATGTTAGCATGCCATTTCGTGTTAGTACTCAGCCCAACATTTCTTGGCTCAGAATCTAGGGCCTTTTCAAACGATTGAGGCAGTGTTCCTTGATTCGGTGGCGCTGGACACCCTCTTCACCCATCGTGTTTTTCTGAGTATAGTTATGAGGGTTCTGCTGCTTCTGCTGCTACAGGGATCCGGCTTTCGCCGTTTCTTGGTGTGGTTGAGAGTTCGTTTTGAGGGCTGACCCTGTCATGCAGGACCTTCTCTAGGACCCCATGCCAATACCCAGAAAGCCCACCAAACAGTTTTCCGACTTCAGGGAATTCGGGCTTGTGGGAACCTTACAGCACCATAGACGCCCTATAAAATGTTTCTACTGTAAGGGCTTCACTCACAACTACGTGCTACTGTAGTAGACCCATTGCAAGCAGAAAGAATGCTCAAACTTAATGTGCCGCCAGGGCTGCGTCAGCGCGTTGGACCTGGCTTTTTCCATTCGACAAAGCTGGCTCAATCGAAGGTGCCTCTCTGCAGCCCCGGTTTAGAGGTTTGGTTTTTCGGTTTGTGGTAGTCAGCACCTCCAATCACGAAGGAAGGTGCTCCTCATGAGTTCTGTGAGAAGCTCTATAAAGTTGCAGCACCCGCACGTCGTACAACATCATCGTAAGAAGCCATATGTAACTTAAACAAATACTCTGTGCATGATCACAACATACTCCCGATGCGACTCTCCTCTCAGTGAATCGACGAACACTCATTTCTTCGGAGGCAGAACCCAGACTCCTAAGTGGGAGGGGGCCTTTAGTTTCACGAATCGTTGCGGATGAAGCTCTCATCTCTGGCGTGGGCGCCCGTGGAGCTAGATGTTTCATTTTCTGTTTTGAAGCTGGCCCTGCGTCATGCTGCTATGAATCGTCCCGGCAGAGCTGGCTTTTACGGCTTCGGGTTTCTAGTCGTGGTGTATTCGAAGCGGTTGAAGTTTTGGAATCGAGTCAAAACACAAGAATGATATCACTCAGCCAAACTGAAATCGAAAGATCCTTAGGACCAGCCCTTTCCGGAAGGTTCGAGTCAAAGGTTTGAAACTCTGCCACAACAGGTCCGCCCGTGGAGGATGAAGCATCCATGCAGCCAGTTCTTTTTCGCCTTCGGAAACTTTCTGCAGTGCTTGCTGTAAGCCACCGCCTTCACATCCTTCAACAACTTTTCATCAACCCATGCCTCAGGGTTTCCCGACCGCTCATGCAATCAAGACCAGGAGGTCGCGTGCCAAGCAACAAGCGAGCGATGGCAAAAATTATGTTCATGATGATCCCCCTCCGCTGGTTATCGTTGCTAGGTGTTGGCAGTCTTGTTCGTACGAATACGATGGCGCCTCTTGCCACATAGTTACATGCGCGCGAGACACACACAGACATATACACATGTGCACGCATACACACACACACATGCACACACACACATGCATGCACACACACATGCACACACACACACACACACAGCAGCCAAAGAAGCATCACGGCCAGGTTGCTGATTCCGCAGACACATCTGCCTAAGTCGTGTCTCCAGAATTTGGATGGAAGCTTCTTTCGAGGTTTGTGGAGCCCATCCAGGGAGAGGGTGGCGTGGTTCCTGGAACCGTCGAGCCACCTGGCACGCAGTGAAGTCAGTTCCCAGGTACTGTCAAGGCATGATCAGATCTTGAAGGAAAGGATGTTCGAGAGGATGACGCAGCCCATGGACGAAGCGGAATAGTGGAAGCATAGCGCTGCCCCTGCATCTCTCGATTTTTCAGGCATACCCATGGCCATGATCGAGTTATCATTGCCTTTTGTTTTGCAGCCTGGTGACAAGCGACGCAGAGCAGCATCACAGTTCCTCTGAGGTTCATGACGGCTCTGCGAAAGCGCTGCGACGAGGCGCGTTCCGGAGTGCTCCGGAAGATCGGTCTACGCCATCTCGACGAGTCTTCTACGGCGTAGACAGAATCTGCGGGCTTCTGGTGTTGGTGACCGGACATGGCACAGACATGGGCAAAGTTGCAGGGTCTTGCACATTCCCGTGAGCAGGGCTGGTGGGAGACCGCTGTCCATGACTTTGCCTGCAGCCTGGCAGGTGGGAGCGCTGCTGGTTTTTGACGAGGCCAAGAGTCCTTCGGTTTCCGGGAGAGCATATTGCTTGCATGGTCAGGTCATGTCAGGTCACACGTGCTGAGGTCGCCGCACTTTCACGGGTGCCAGAAAAGTTAGACGCTTGAGCTTTGAGGGAAAGCGTAAATGGCCCGCCTGCACCAAGTCGCGCTTGAAGGCTTGCATTTCAGAGTGTTGGTCGCCTTCTCGAAGCTTGGAGGTCCCGCAGTGGAAGAAGGGGTGACGTTGTTTCAATATCTGGACGGGGAAATCGCTGTAACGTAGACCGAAAGCCCAGATGAGAGCCGATAGGTGCAGTGTGGGCTCGGCCGCAGCGGCAAGCTCTTCGCCTACGTCCTTTGGAGCAAGTGAGATCAGAGGCTCAGAACTGGGTGCTTGGATGTGAGGCCCTAGGCAAAAAGCAGTACAGAGGTCCCCATACACTATACTCTTACTGAAGGTGTTTTTCTTCTACTTGCACTGCGTCTTGCACCTTATGTGTGATCTGCTCTCGATCTCCATTTGGTTCCTACCTGTTCGATCGTCGGGTTTCGGCAACACGCAGCTAGCGTCCACGCAAGAGGCTCCAGAAGCTCAGTGCGGTCGTCATGTCATCTTTTCTGGCCGGCTGTTATCTGTGCAGTATGCAGGGAATGTCATGCGTGGTACTGGCCACGAGCAGCTGGCATGCGATTGTTTCCGTGCATCTTCCGCACCTCCAAAAAACAAAATGATGTCGCTGACAGCGCCATGCTTTCGGTCCGGCTGCGCGACACGTCGTGCAACGCCAGCTCAGGAGCTGTCAGGCGTGAAGCCTGACATGATGACCCTGGCGAAGCCGCTTGCAGGTCTCATGCTTTCATTTCCCGTCGCCAGGAAGCAGTGACAGAGGTTCCTTTCTGGGTATAGTTTCTCTAGTTGCCACACTCAAACACGGTGTCAAAAGTCGGTTCGTGGATACTACAGTCGCGGTTGTCTTGGCCGTTGCTGATTTGGGTTTCGGTAGATTTGTGCAGGTGGCTTGCCTATCGGCGCCGTGCTGCTCACGGAGGACGGACAGGTGTTGGTTATATTTTGTGATCTTCTAGGATGACTGGGGGAGGGATCTTCCATGATGATCTTAGCCAGCTTTCGGGAAAGCGGCATGCTCTGTGAAGGAAGTGGCGGCCTGCATCAATCCAGGCGATCATGGAAGCACCTTCGCAGGCAGTGCCTGAAGCAGCCCCCCATCGCTTCTGCCCGTTTCGTGTTGTATCTGAAGCAACTGTGACTGTGCTCCTGTGCCAGGCGCTCCGCTCGTCTGCTCGGCAGCCCGCTATGTGGTGGGCCGTGTGGCCCAGGAGAGCTTTCTGAAGAATGCTCCTGCGGCTGCAAGAGGGCCTGCTTTGTCTCTGTGTCAGTGCGTGCTTCCGGGCAGGAGCTGCTTGGGCCTCTTGGGTCTCCTTCGTCGTTTAGATCCGAGTCCTGTTTGAGGTTGAGGAGACAGGCGCCCGACTCAAAGCCGGCCTTGAGAAGCTGGCCGCGTCCCGGCAAACATCGGCAGGATGCTGCAAAGGGGCGCTTCAAGGGTTGCTTGGAGGCTTTGATGAGACTCCGGATGACTCCGGTGAGGGGCCTTCGGCAGTGGGTTCAGCCATTCACCGGTCTGAGCCGAACTTTGGTTGCTTAAGGAACCGCATGGCCTTGCTGTTCGCGGCACCGGGCTTCTTCTGGGCATCGTGTGCCGCGGATGGTTTACAGAACAGGGACCGAAGTGGAGGCATGTTGCGATTTCGGAAAGCGGAAGCTAGGCGCAAGGTAGGCGCAACTTGCACAGTTTTGCGCCGCGCTGCCCGTCCCGGGACCTTGAAGCTCTTCCATGTCCGTGACTGCCCTTGAGCCAAGCAGCGCTGCCATAGGGCGCGGAGCCGCGTGTGTTTGAAGCCGACTGAGTCCAGGTTCGACTCCGCTGAGACTTGTGGGGCCGTGCAGAAGAAGGCGAGTCGCCCGGAGTGCAAAGTAGACCACGTTCTGCTGACGCGCTAGCCGCTAGATGACTACAGGTTTCGCATACGTCGACGGACACAAGCACTTCTTGTACCTCCCCGATGCGTGTAGGCGTGTGAAAGTAACTCTGCGAACGTGAGTGCTCCTAGCTATGTCGTTGCAATCTCACCATGTGGCTTCCATATATCTTCTTGGCTTTCGAGCTGCCGTTCGACCAATTCAAAGCCATCCCAGGACTCGGATTCAACCAAACGGCAGCCGAAGGTTCCTTCAGGCGCTACCTGTCCTCGACCCATGGAAAAGTCCTCGAACCCAAGCATACACCAACCTTAATCGCCTCCTCAACGCAGACATTGCGAGGCCGCCGAAGAGAAACTCCTCGCCGCTGGGATAGTCGTATTGTAGTGCAGCTGCAGAGCTGCTGGCGTCATGATTCCACCCTCCGGTGGTGCTTCCAGATGCTTCGACTGTACGGAGCACTTGCAACCTCCTTGGACTGAGGTGCTCACTGCGGGCGCGGGCAATGTGCTTCGCATCGCCCCCGCACTTACGGTGACTTGGAAGGATCTCTGGGTTTGTGGCCGCAGGTGAGTCGATAAGTGAGCATGTGGGGGCAATGCGGCACTTGTGCTATGTGTCTGGGAGCATCAGCCATGGACGGATACTGTGTTGTATGTTCTTAAACCAGCTGGCTACTGCCATGCCTTCCGGGACAGCTGACTGCGAGAGTTTCCGACTTGCGAGGGGTGGACGACGTACCAGGTCGTACCATCAAATAATTCAACAGCCATACTGCTCGGAATGGGTGTTTTTGCTTCTGCGGTCTCGGTCTGTGAACTGCGCCAAACCGTACAAGCAATGAGCACGTGTCGACAGATCTACAATCTGCCGATGCTGCAGCCCTGCTCCGTGTTCTAATGCTCTCTAGACTCTGTTGAGCCTTGCGGCTAAACATAGCGCTGGATGCACAGACATAAACGAACAGAAATAATGCGAGTGCATTTGCAGAACCTAGCTTGTCCTCAGGTGGGACCCCAGGACGTCGACGTCGATGATGCTTTGGGACGCCTGGAGAAGGCGCCGTCTTGGCACAGCGGCTTCGGGCGTGGAGCTTCCACAGCGGCAGATGGCCGATTCGAAATTTCATACAGTGGATTCAAGATGATTCAAGCATATTCACGCTTCTTCGACGTATGTCTGATCTCTCCGATCTTCCATGAAGCACGCTCCAGGCCTTCGATGCCGTCTATGCAACGGCGGCCGCCTGACGAAGTCAAAGCTCACACTCTTGCCTGAACATTACCCGAGGAGGACGGTCCACTTGCAAGAATGCCGCAAAAAGTGCACTCGGAGTCGGAGCCTTCACTCATCTCAGATGCATCAGTTAAATGATGTGAAACACGAAGCGCAGACTCGTCGCCGCACTCGATGGTCCTTCGAAATCTAGCAAAGCAAGCCGCGAGTCAAGTGCCGGATTGCTCGGGACAACTGCAAGCAGGCACTTTCGTCTCTTGGTTGTGCTTCATGCCGAAGGGCTCCAAGGGCCCAAGATATCCGCTGGGAAGACTTTTCTCAGGGCTTGAATTGTGCTTCAACACAGAGGATTGATGTCGAGCGGATATGTGAACCCTTGGGAAGTGCAAAGGCAATTATTGTGTGCTCTGTACAGTGTACAGGCCAAACTGTGTGCAAATCTCAGTGGCCCCGCACAGCGCACTTGAGCGTAGAAAGGCTATGTCGGCTATGTCAGTCACGATCCGGAATCAGCTAATACAGGTTCCCACCACCAGCAGACCGGTAGCAGGCAACAAGCAGTTCGTCCAGACAGGCGGTTCGTATTTGTGCGATCTACTTTTGCATTTTGCGTACTTCCATTACACTGCCGCAATGCGCGCAGCCGCTGCAAGGTCGTCAGTACCATTGACAAACAGAGACTCAAAAACACTTCTACACTAGGCATTTGCATCTTAACACCACTTCCGAAGTACACAGCCCTTGGATATGTTTCAAGCGCTGTCTGGGGGGGGGCTTTGGCGTTGTTCATCTATGGACCTCCAAACAATTACTTTTGGCTTGCCTTGCGAAGGGAGTATAGAGCCCCAGACAGGCTTCAGTGTAGCCAAAGCCAAACCGTATGATAACTCACCGGGACGGGATCTGTGCCACTTCCAGCATTCGCTTCGGGTTCATCAGGCCCCGGGTGCCGGGACCTACATCTTTCTTTGCCCTACCCGTGGCACTCATGGCGTCGGTGGAAGGGACGCGGCGCTTTCTGCAACGTGCCGCGGGGCGTCAGGCGCGATGGTTCTGTCCGTGCGAGCAGATGTGTCCTTACATCGCCAGAGAAGGTAACGGGAGGGACGGAGAGGGAGAACAAGAGAACGAAATACATCCAGATCGGTTTGTGGTTTGATGGGTTGTCTGTTTGCATTGCTTAGGATTGCACACCCCGCATCTCATCAAAGGCATTCGCAGGTCTTGACTTGGTTTGTCCTTTACCTGTCAATCGAGCTCTCAGTCTCCTCATAGCATCGCATAGCACGACATGGAAAGAGAGCTCGCGAACCAGGGAAGTGGAGTAGGCGAGATACAGCGGGTAGGACAAGTGGTTGATTTGGAAAAGCCTGCAGACGACCAGTTCAGCGGCTAAGTTTGCTTGACAGCAGCTCTCTGATCAGGCCCTTCATGCTGCCAATGCACGGCAGCTGGGACCCTTCGCGTGCACTGCGGTCGGCTTCGGGCAAGTTCTGCTTTGAATACCGCAAAACGAGCTGGGACCCGGTTGAATAGCCAGTGCCAAGTCCCAACCTCAAAGTAGATCAGCGCCAATGTGGCTCATGCCTCGACTGCACAGACTTTAAGAGTCGTGCAGGTGGGCTTCGGAGCTTACCGACTAGAGTCGGAGGCACAAGTACCAGCTCTGCGACAAGCCCTCAAAGTGACATGGCCACAAGATTTAGAAAGATGCAAGTCTGAATTCAAGCTGCCATTTACACAGAGCTCGAAGTGGTCCAAGCCTCTCCTCCTGCCGTTCATGTCTTTTAAGATCCCATATGGGTGGTCTGGTGCATGGAGTGTTTCAATTCTCGTGACACCCACCCCAAGCATTACCACACCACGGGTGTTTGAAAGGCTGCGAGGAATCCAGGCCTGCCCAATCCACCCAAGTTCCGGGGAACGGGGGGGACGTGGCGGCGGTGGGTGGAGGGCAGGTGGGCACGCAGCAGCATCTATGTGTAAGGCATGTAAGAAGGACGATGTCGGTCAGTCTGAGTGCAGCACGCAGCACATCGTCAGCGCACCTATATGAACTGAACCGACAAGTGAGTTTGAGGTGATGAACGTGGTGGACACCTCAAGCCACTACGCCTCCGGCCTTTCCGAGCGTCTCGTGGGCCGTGTACTTCGTGAGGCACTCTTGCGAATTCATGCTTGGGTCTTTCCGGTTCCCCAAGATTCGACCAATGGTTTCAGGAGTCAGGGCATCGTTTCGCAGCTGGATGTGTTCCAGCTCGTTCTCTGACATGAAACACACTTCCTGGAACTCTCAGTTCTTCCTGGAACGCACTGCCTGGTCAGTCGATTGTTTGGAGGTGCCCCACTGCAAGTTGCATCATGTCACGCAGTGGGTGCAGACACTGGCACATATGTCATCTGAAGTCCCAGTGGGTCCCGGTACCTCAACGGTTTGAGTGCTCACCGCAGGCTGAGGAGTCGAGGGAACTCAGCCGAGAGGAGGTCGTCGTTTGCACGAAGGTCCGAGAATTGTAGCCCGGGGGTTGCCCGTTGCTGGTGGTGCACCAGAACATCCGGCCTTTTACGGTGCGCACCGATTGCCTGCATGCTTCAATGACGAGCTCGAGCACGTTTGCTGCTCACATTTGATTTATCAGAAGTTCCGATCCCACTCAGAGCGCCCAAGCACAAGCACTGCAGCTCAGTGAAGTCCATGGCTTGTAGGTGCACCGCAACTTGGTATCTTGAGCCAGGTGGGCCACGTGAGTAAAGGTCAAGATCCTCCCAAGGGAGCTGCACCCTTGCTGCACTGACCATGGCCGATTGCATGTTCGGAGTTCAGCATCGATAACTAGTTTGGTTCGCCGCTTGGCAATGGGAAGCTGGGAGACTGTGCTTGCCAGAGTAGCGACACCTTGCAGTCATTCAGCTGACCTTGCGAGAAGACTGCATTGGATGCTGAGTGTTTCTTGAAAAGCCAGATGCTGTGGAGAAGGTAGAATTCGCTGCCACACCGCTTGGGGGAAGGCTGAGTTTCGGATGCCATCTGCATAGTGGACGGGGTTACTTGCGGACTCAGGTTCCCGTTGGGGCCCACAAAGGCGAGGGTGGCGCCCAGGCTGGCTGAGTGGCTACTTTCAAGTTTCAGGAACCGTGGGGTTGAGATATTCCGTCGGCTTGCGTAGTTGATCTGTGTTCCCAACCTCGATCGTGCCGCATCCATGTGAAGAAGACTGACGCACACCTGGAGATACAACAGCCTTGAAGCTACTCGGGGTGATACTTTATCCTCCGGCCGCGAAGTATTCCACATGGTCGGCTGGCAACGACGATGTAACACGCAGCATAGTCTCGCCCAAGACGTGGCCAAGTTAATCGTTCCAGCCTGTACAGGAATCATCTGAGTCAGAGCTTTGCTGGATCCTCCCGCCAACATTTGTGCTGCAAGATTCTTTCGTTGTCCATCGCTTGTGTTCGGAGCTTCTGACAAGAGACAGAGTGTTCGTGGAGACTGCATAGCTTAGAAGCTGGTTCACTGTACAATCCAGTCAAGCGAGGGGGCATTGTCTAAAGGAGGGCGGAGATTTATTGTAGGGACAGCAAACTAGGACGAGTAACCGTGCACTCCGGACATTGATGTGCAGCCTTGGTGCCACTTTCCATGCTTTGAGCCGTGCATCCGTCTCTTACTTTGGAAACCGTCTCCTGCAACTGTTGTAGGACGTTGTTATTCCATTCTTCCTAGAAAACATGTCCTCCGTGGATTCGCTTCGCTTCCGAGAGGACGACTGGCACTGCATTTCGCCTCCTTTCGTCTCCGAGGAGGTCCGAGCCTGCAAGGAGTCCCGCAAAATAGAACGAGGGCTACACTCTTGTCGTTGGATCTGCTTATGGCGTGGCCTTTCCTCCGAGCTCTTCTGAGCCACCGCAGGTCACAGGCCCCTCTGCATTTTTGTAAACGGATGTTCTCTAGGAGCGGCTTGGGACGAGCCCGGACTTCGTGCTGCTGCACAATCCGGAGTATCTGCTGGCGGCCCGACTTCAGCAGCAGGCGCCCATTGCGGACGCTTGGGACGAGATGTACCAGGCACCGTCATCGTGCAGGATGCGTCTACTCACGAGTTTACAGCCACGACATGACTGGCATGAAGCGCGCGCGAAAGCCAGCGATACAGCAAGCGGTTTTCAAGCAGAGACGGGTACGTCGACCATCATACACGCGGTTCCATGCCACATGTCTGCACCACTCTTGCATAACAAGTAGCTGTTAAAAGTAGCTCTGCCGCCTATACATGCTCATGCAGGCACTTTTCGAGTCCTTCAAGGCTTTGGAAATGCTGTGCAGCCCGGCCAGAGGGCAGTAGACCAAGCTTTTGCTTGGTTTGAGGATGTTTTTTCAGGTTCTTCCAGACTCGAAGCTCGCTGCCTGTCCGCGGGAGAACACAGCCCACTGGCACTGCAAAGATCCACCATCACCGTTCATCAACAAAACCGACTGGCATGTCGCGGTTCGAGGGCATCAGAGGCAGCAGTGCACCAGCGCAGGTCTGACTAAGAAAAGAAGCAGCCGCACCACTTAGGCTTTAAGAATCGACACGCTGGAGCCCGTAGCTGTAGGCAGCGAGGGCATCATTGCCGGTGGCTACGGAGTGACCTGGCCAGGCGTGTGTTGATTAAACGGGGCTCCTCTAAACAAGGTCCTACTGGTCCCGACTCTCGTTCTCTTCATTTGCTCATGCCGTTGTCCGTGCTTTTGACTGCCTGAGTACATACGAGGAATGACGATATGGCAGAACATGGCATGTATAGTCGTAATCCTGAGCCATGGACCCAGCATCGGGGGTTTGCCGTACTTGGGTTCGGTGCATCAGTTGACACCATTGATCGAACCCAGGGCAATCAAACGTTGCCTATGTTTGCACGCATAAGGCGAATTTCCCTTGGCGAAACCGCTAAGGTCAGCAGCAACTTCCTCTCCTGCATGTTTTCCGTGACTGGGAGGGCCAATCTCTACGAAGCTCTCGTTCTGGATCGGGTGGCTTGGCTTACGCTGAAAAGCCTTAGGATTTGCGCTCAATGAAGCAGAAGCTCGCCTTTCTTCCAAGCACTGGCTTCAAGAGCTCCACTGTACAGGTGGCCTGTAAGATTCCATGCGCGGGGGCAGAGCAGCCGTTGGTTCATGTTAAGTGGCCAGAAGCTTCCAAGATCTCGCAACCAATGCAGGTGGCAGATGCAGCAGCTGCCGCAGCGAACCTGGACACAAAGGGTACTGCTGAGGATTACCAATTGGACCTGCGTTTTGTGTCCAGGTTGTGGCATTTGATGCAATGTCGAGTTCTTTTCTACCGGACAGGTCCGAGTAGTGGCAGCGGACTGACCTTTGGCATCATCCAATCTTTTTCGAACTTGTTGAGGCATGACGTAGTTACCAATCACCAATCTTATCACGCAGCGCAAGAAAACGCCACCAAAGCTCATGCTTAGTCCCGGTGGACGGCAACAGTTGCATCACCACCTTGCCTACGAAGCTTCTGAGCCAAGGGCTGATGTGGGAGTGGACTGCCATTTCAAGCTGGCTCAGCTTCCTCTGAGCTTGGGCTGCACAGATGGCAAGGGCGAAGAGTAAACGCGAACGTAGCCTAGCTGCACCCAGGAACGCTTTCGAGGGCGGCGCCGTGCTTGGTCGAGGTAAAGCTGTAGAGGCCGGCATGAAATCACGTGGGAATCTTGGGTTGGTCAGTGGGTGCTTCCATTGCTTGGTGACTCTGCAGATCTGCCAACCAGCACATGATGTGTTGAACTTTAGACATCGCTCGGCTTAGGCTGTGCTGCTTCAGCTCACCTGAATGTGCCGATCCACAGGTTTGCCCTGTGAGACTCATGACAGCTTGCCTCGTGAAGCCAGGCAGAGCGAGATTGCGATTTGGCTACGCGGCTCGGGATTTCTCTCGTGACGAGCTTGGGCACAGAACTTCTAAAGCCATTGTAGCGTAAGCACAATTGGAAAAGGAATGCCTCCATGGTACAAGCTAACAAAGCTTTTTGCCGGGCTAGTGCATGATCGGTCAGGCATAGCCGGTTGGTTGCCGACTGCTTGCAAGCGCATGGTTTGCATGCTTGATCTGCGTGTATCTGTAGGCCGTCATTTACCTAATTACAAGATTACCCACCTACTGTACTGGTACCGGCGCCATTCGAGGAACCGACCGTTGAACGCGTTGCCGATGATTCTTGGATGGACGAGAGTTTGTTTTCTGCCACAGTATGCTGGCAAACCCTGACGTGCACGCCCCAATCATCTTGGCTTCACGCCGCGATGCCGTAATTTGTTGGAGGGAGGTGGGAAAGTGGAACAGTTCCCGAAATTAGCGCCTTTCCTTGGCAAATTGATTCGGCGGCTGCAACTCCCATCCTCCTTCACGGATAAAACGTGCCAAGACATGGTAAATGCTTCGTAAGCTTTGGGTTCCTCCAGCCATGCATACAGGCACACAGCCTCGGAATCTTAAGCTGCCAAGCTCTGAGACTCTGAACAACACACGCACAGCAGGCCCAAATCCCAGGATGCTCACAGACTCATTAACGAGCCTGCTAAGCTGTCACTACAGAGGTTTGTCAGCCATTAGACTCCAAATCAGCATCGAGGCCCGGAGTTTCTACTGGCGACTGGGGCCGTGGGGGCGCCTCGCATCTCCAGCTGCGAGAGGCGAGGACAGCTGGGTGGTTTTGCGGCTTAGCGCTTTGTGTTTTGGTAGGACGGTGGCCGATCGACTGCACGCAGTTTCACGGCTTCAGGCGAAGCCGATGGGCACAATGGCATCGCTCCTGAAGCAACTGGGCAAGTCTTTGGAAACAAACCGATGTTCATGTGCTGTTGTTGCTCAGTCACTGCCATGGCAGAACCTCGTAGGCAGGTATTCAAGGCCTCCCCAACATCAACGGGCACCTCGGGATCGATCAAGTTGCAGAAACTAGTGACTTCGCGGATGAGATGCGCTCACCACGGTCGTGATGGGTAGCTTTCTACAAAGAGGAGTTTTCCACTTGCTGTATGTCGCTCCGGCCAGTCTGCATGCCAAGCAGATAAATCGCGAGTCGTCCGAAGGGCAACCTGCATGTCGTTCGACTGCGCCTTTTCAGAGGGTTGAAAAACACTCATTGACTCTTCGCCCCACTAGTTCAGCAAGAAGCTCGCCGATCCAGGCGTGTCCTGTGTGAATCTGCAAATCTGCCGGAGGCGCCACTGCAACAGCTGCTTGGTGGAAAGTCTGGAAAGTCCATATAATATAGTAATCCATAGTCACTTGCCTTCATGACGAGTTCATGCACCCCTCTAGCGTGCTGCGAAATAGGAAATCAAGCTGCCATGCAGTGCTTTGCCTTGCAGACGATGCAAAGATGAGACTGAGACATGCCGAGGATTGCACTTCGCCTGGCGCTGTCAGCACCTGGAGTCGCCTGCACTCTGAACGGCGTCCGCCAGCCAGCCTACGTCGAAGATGCCGCGCAGGTGAATCTGTCAATAGTGAGTCTGCCAGGACGAGTATGGTTAAGCCCTGTGATCAGCGAAAGCCTGCAGACAAATCCGACCCCGGTTTTGTTTGGAGTGTGACCCAGCACTTTCCAGCACCCTTGTAATTATGAGGCTTCTGGGCTGCGAAAACCCTCTATACTGTCCTGACATGGGCCTATTTTGCTTACTGACCAATCAACCGAGAAAGCCTTTGCCGCAGGTCTTGCAACTGGAGCCGCTGCTTGGATGGTATTCTAGGGTTTCCTTAGCAGCGAGCGGATGGATGTTTCCGGACCATCGTGCTTCGTGCAAGTTTGAGGGAATAGGATCTTGAACAGTTTTCCTCACGAAGTGCAAGCCATGTAACTCTAAACATGGAGACCAAGTGCAAGCGGATGGATTGAGAGAGCGATTGGAGGGAATCCCAGAGGTTGCTCCAGCTCGTGCCCTGTTCGTTCATCACACTCACCGACATTGAACATTTTCCGCTTGAATCCACATGCTGCGACTGACCCAAGCACTTTGTACACATCCAAGTGCAGACCTGGGTAGACGCTGCTACTGCAAGGATCAGCCATCAAGATGTGGAGAAGGCCTTGTTGGCCGTGCGGTCTTTGGCCGAAGAGCTCGGCTGCGACACGAAGCAGCTGTGGTAAGCGAAAAAGACAGCGCAGGTCTGCATTAGTGATGGGGAGGCCTTCCTTGAGCGACGCCGAGTGCTAATACACCCGTGTTATTAATAGCGGGTTATATTCAAGAAGCTAAGACCACAGATCCTGTCTCCAACAGACACAACAAAAGATAGGATCAGAGTGCACGATGAGCGGATATGTTCGTGGGACGGCATCCCGGTGTGTTGGCTGTGGCACTGAGGCCACGACATGTGCGCCTTGGCTTGAGTGGGCTTGATTGTGGCTCCTGGGAAACCAGAAGGGCTTCGCAGGAATCCGGTCGTCTCACTGGCTTGGGATCGGTAGGAAGGGTGTTTTCCGACTCCATGTCACCTCGAAATCTCCGAGACACACCTCTAAGACTCCAAGAAGACTCCGAGAAGAGACCTCTGGAGTTCGGCAGCCACCAAGTCCTGCGACCGCACTTGCACATGTCACACAAGAGCTCTTCGGCGAGAGCGGCAAAAAGGAAACAACTGGGTCATGTGGGATCCGGAGGACTTGTGGAACCCCGAACGAAACCTGGAACAATTAACAAGAGGCTTCGTTTCGCTCTTCATACCCGTGAAATTAGGGAGATCCGCACTCGTGCAAACTTCGCTACATTAGCAGTAAGTAGCTTCAAAGCCGTCTGAGATCTTTGGTGCCCTCTGTCGGAGTGCTTTCACCATCCCAGCCGGTTCGGTGTGGAATCAAGGGTTCTGATCCGAGCCCGAAGAGTCAACCACACCACTTCTACATCATGCTACTGAGCGTGCATCTAGAATCTAGACAGTAGATTTGGACACCATGCAACACGGGCACTAGGTGGGTCATGAGGGTGAAGTCTTCTCATGTGCGCAGGACAGCTTGCTTCCTGGACGGGGCTCTTGACAGCCTTTCCACTCCAGTTGCAACCCATGTGCATGAAAGCAAGGAAGATCTTCTGCACTGCTACCTTTCTCATACCTGCACACGAGTGAGTAGGTGTGTGCATACTACGTGTACACACATGCATGTATATACAGGAACACATAAATACATCCATGCATGCAGACATACATACCTACGTACGTACGTACGTACGTACATACATACATACATACATACATACACACTTTGTACAAGCGTCATCATGCTCTCTACCTTATCGAATATCCTTAACTATATTTGGATTGGTCTCCAAAATCTCTGATTACAAAACTGTCATCATGATCTGTAGCACCGCAGTAAGGCAAAGAGAACCTTCGGTATGATTGAAATGTCGCATGAACCCCTGTGAGCCGTCATGATCTGTATCACCGATTTTTGCGACCATTAAACTCAATGTCCTCTGCGTGTTGGCATAAATGCCCCTATGCAAGCATCATCGTGATCCGTATCGCCACATTAGAATTACCTCGGAATGTTCGCATAAAGCGCTCGGACACGTGGCCTCTTCCAGACTTCACGTCGAAGCTTGTCAATACCGATGGAACCATTCATCCCCTTCATCATGTCCTCGGTTTGAGTGTGTCTCTCGGGACTTCCGAAACACCAGGGCCCGAAACAATCCTAAACACTAAGCCTTATTAAGCCATCCCAGAAGCCCCAAACAACAGAAACTGAGACCACACGCCCGAAAGGCAAACAGCCTTAAATGTCTTAGTCTGTTGTTAAGTTCATTCAAACCATACGTAAAACCCGTCATCACGTTCCGTATCATCAGCTCAACAAACTATCTTTATTGTCGTGTTCATGTTAGCCTAGACGCGTAATAGCTGCATTGTGGCATCATTGCGGGCTGTATCGTCACCCTTCAACATCCTGGGTACTGGTCAAAATAAACCTAAACCCACCCAAGAAAATGGCTGCTTGTACTCACCCTCCCATAAACCTTGAACCCTATCAGAGACCCCAATAGCCCTGAAATTAAATTGAATATTATCTAGTCAGGACGATGGTCAGTCCTGCCTATGTAACTCTACTACCAGCGCTTACTATATATTGATGCAAATATTTCCACCAATACGCTCTCAAGCTTAGAGCTAAGCTGACTTGAAGTAGTTATGCTGAATCCTTGTCGGTCCCCGTCACTGTCACATCTACCTGCGATGTGGATCTAAGCAGCAACCCTAATATCACCTAAACTTATAGCCTAATCAGCTACAATAAGCTCGACGATTGAAGCGCATACTAACTTCAATGGCAACTCCAACAGTGAGCGACCTTCGCAGCAAGCCGAACATTGGCCTCAACAAAAGTGGTATCAGCACTAAATTCTAAAATACTACTCGCAGATGTATCATGAGCATTCTTTATAATGCCAACATCGAACGCTATGTGTCAACACTTCTCACACCAATAGCAGCACTATATCAATCGTAAGTGCCTCTATACAAAGCAAAAGAGTGAACAGGAACATCAATGACAGGAATTGTGATGTCTTAACAACGCCAACCCCAAAATAAGCTTTGGCGTTAGCCTTGATACGGTTCCACGGTGATGATATGACCTTGGGTTCTCAATGCCCTGAGATTACTTGGTAAACCCTTAGAAGAAATGAAACCCCGTGAAAACATGCATGTGCATCCTGCAGGCCTTCAGGAAACCTTTCTGCTTAACTTTAAAATAGCCCTACGATAGCCCGGCAAAGGCCTTAGTAGTAACGTTGGCCTACTACGACAGTTACTATGGTTGATATGTGATTAAGAATCAGCTCAAATGAAGAGAATCCTTATCGCACCGCCCATTACTAGCTCTTAGTGACTTAGTCATTCGACTTCGACAATGATCACCCAGCTGCACAACAAGTATGGGTGAGCCAAGCGTCTGAGTGCTATATTGCATGTCGAACTTGGTATTCGCCCTTTTTAATAATCGCCCAGTGAGACTACTACTAAGGCTTGCACTAGACATGTGGATTGCAAATCCGTAAACCTTCGGACCATAGACTCGTACTCGCATGAGATCCGACATAATCGTACCAAAGTCTTCGCAGCTAAAGCTTAAGCTCTTAGCCCATACATTCTTGGTACATGCATACATATATATATATATGCTTATAGATATGTAGTATAGACACAATGTGTGTATACATACGTACATTTACATTTACACACACGTATATGTACATATGTACATATGTATGTATGTATGTATGTATGTATGTATGTATGTACGTACGTATGTATGCATACATGTATGTATGTATCAATGTAATGCAATGTAATGTAGTGTAATGTAGTGTAATGTAGTGTAATGTAGTGTAATGTAGTGTAATGTAGTGTAATGTAGTGTAATGTAGTGATGTAGTGTGATGTAGCGCAGCGTAGTGTAGTGTAGTGTAGTGTAGTGTAGTGTAATGCAATGTAATGCAATGTAATGTAATGTAATGTAATATATGTACGTATGTATGTATGTATGTATGTATGTATGTATGTATGTGTGTATTTATGTATGTATGTATGTAAGTGTGTATGTATGTATGTATGTATGTATGTATGTATGTATGTAGTTATGTAGTACATGTAAGCGTATATGTACAGACACACCTACACACGTACATGCGGCGCACGTGCGTACGAGAGTACGTACATACATAAACATATTTGAATTTATTTTTATATTTATATGTATATTTATATACACGCTTGTATACACACACACATACATGCATACATACATACATACATACATACACCCCAGACCGAGCTCTCGAAAGCCTCCAGGTTTCACCGGGCATGCGCCAAAGCGCGCACGCCGCCCCCCAAGGCCGGCCGCCGTGGGTTGAGATCGAGGGTTTGCGGGTTCATAGGTTCAGAGCATAGCTT